TATTAGTACTCTAAAGTTCGGTCGAATTTAACAGGCAGCAAACTTCGGGGAATTGTCGTAATCGACATGTTTACGCAGGTTTTAAGAACGTCTTTTTTCAGACCAATAGTCAAAAGTGTGTGGTCTCTCGTACAGGAAATACTGCGATTCACAGATTGGACTAATCAACATTGCGACTTTGAATATGCAAATTGCCGACTTATCCTAGAGGTGAACCGCTGGCGGAAATTTCATGTCAGTCCATCAAGGAAAGAACGGCTGGCTTAAACTCCAGTCTCTAGCGGTATGTTCTCCGCAAGGCAACGGCTCTTTGAATAGCCTAATCACGTGTTTTACTTAAACGTCCATGTATGTTCTTCGCTGATTTCCGTTCTCGCACGCCTCACATACTAGAAGTTTTACCTCTAGTGTTATCATTCGCGTTGGTCAATCGTTACCGGTATTTACTATTTTTCAGTACGATGATGATTCGTTAATATGCTAGTAGTCTTCAATTTTAGTAATTTCATCCTAATCCAAACCGTCGTCATAAGATGAGAGTTTATAAAAATATATTAACTTGGCGAAGAGCTGTCGCGAAAGACTATTGTTCGAATGACCTTCCAACAGAAACAGATAATAAAATTAAAAATCGCATTTAGTCCACGAATAAATCCCGTCAGTGCTTTCGTAGAATAATGCTGGTAATTCAGGTATTTAGAAACATGGTTTTCACAAAAATGACTTCCCTTTGACGATTAGTATTTCAGATCTTCGAATTTCAGATATCACTGACATGCAAAGTCAACTAAAAGTGCACTTAGTCGTCTCTACACTCTTACATAGTTTTATGGTTAAATTTGTTTCTAGACTGATCGGTTTAGATAGGCAGGCACATTTTTGTTTTTTGCTTGAAATCGATAATGCCTGCCCTTTTCTGTCATTTAGGTGTACTCGTTTGACAAAAAATGTATTCCTATGAACGAAATGTTAAGCCGCGAATGCGAGTTCATAGGCGTATGTTTCTTTCGTAATCCAATTTTTACGCCCATGGATTCTCCGAAATAGGCTTTAATGCCAGTTGTCTGAAGATAAATTTGACCAGCTACTTTTACCTTTACCATCAGATGTGTCCCTTCCCATCTTCTGAGTACTTCAGTCAAACAGGTATATAATTAAAGGTGCCGTGGATGTGGTGGTAAGCGATGGGCTATGCAACATTTATAGACATTTCACAGCACATCGTTCTTGTACAGCGTCATGCATTCACTTCCAGAATCACGGACATTGGTGGCTGATCGACTGCATTACAGACAGTCAGGCGCGTAGATAACAGTAAAGTCGTCCCGGTTTCACGCAGGTAAGCACACTTGCTTGTAGAAATCAATAAAACAGTTGACTGCATGGACTCTCACTTGGTCTCAGTCATCCCCGACTTAGCTCCGTTGGCTCATCTTGCGAACTCACCAGCGGCCTCCACTGCCTTGGACGGTAGCCCGGGATTCGGTGTGGGATGATGTCCGTGTTTCCCATTTGAGTGCGCACATTAAGGCTACGCTCCTAAATTGCTAATTCGCGTGCACATCCTCGCTGCTTTAACCACTACGACGGTGGATACAGTAACAACAGGCTCACTTGTATTTTTCCATTGATTAAAATGGACATAAAAAGCCTGAGTCATTTCGAGATTCTCTGTGCCATCGCTCGTGATTTTGTGTGAGTCTCGTTCTTAGACTACGGTAATTCAGTTCCAGTGGAACCACACATTCTCACTAACATAATTTTGGTAAGATAACTATTCCAAAAGAACGGGTTCATGTCTGCATTAGACAGTGACACTTCAGAACAACTTAGGTAACAACGAATTAAATAACGAATTTTAATTTGTTCAGCAATTCGTTAATATGCAGGATCATATAGTTAGTCTTAAGTCGTAACTGTCTTCAAAGCAAGGAATCCGTTTTTAACTCTTAAAAGGGTACTAACTAATTGCGCTGCTAATCGTGAGCAGCTCTTTTACGCGTGTTTGCGAATCTCAGGAGCTATTTAGGTGTTCCTCAGACGAGAGCATGAAGCTGTGTTAGATATTTTACCTGTAAACGTAGCGGTGAACGACGCGCAAACCAAGGTTAACATTACTGATCACAACCCACTGGACGACGGAACGTGGTTCAGTAGGAAATCGATAAATTTACTTCTCAGATATCCATTCCTGGTTGTCTGTGAGTTTCGGACGAGATCCACAGGTTGTCTCCGGAAGTTCTGGGCAATAAACGTCGATGGCACATCCGTCATTATCAAAATGATTTGCGTGCTGGTTTTGAAGGCAACGTTATCTATTATCGTTCCCGAAATCATATTACCTACAGATTAAGTAATCAAAAACTTTTGCTCTACGTTGACGCAAAGATTACAGCGATGGCAGACGGGAGGATAAGAAAAAACGCTTACCGAAAGGCAACTATCACTAGCCCCGTCCTTCAACTCAGAAGCAACTCTCCTATGAATATAAATGTACTTCTGTCTGAACCCTCTCCCAGCGTCTTCAAGAATGCTATGGCTATTGTGGTGGGGCTGGATGATTTTAATGTTTTACTCGTCCTATTCAAGACCACCGATTATCCAAAGTCATCCATGTACAAGGACATTAGGGAGGACAATTCGAGCGATTGAAATAAGAACAACTGATATTCTGGCCCACGATTATCTACGCGAAGAAACTACCTCATCAACGCGTCTACGAGGCGGCCGCAGGCGACGAGAAAACAGCCAGCAAGAACGCTAAATTGGTCTCAACTTCGACGACCGTAGGGGCTACATAGGCCACGCGATCCGGTCCAGGATAGACCATAGGTAGTTCAAAGGAAGTCAGCAAAAACGGAAAAGTCAAACTCCTTTCTCCGAGCCGTGTCAAAATACGAGGCAGGCGGCGAGGCTAAAAACGGCAAGACCAGAAAGAACAATCACCGCACTAATCTGGTAATGGAAAGGGGGGGTTGCAGGAACGCCAGTCCAAATAGACTTCGGTACACGAACCCATCTCCACATCTTCTTTGCCTCCTTCGTGGATTAATGAACACATATTTTTGTGCTGAAATGAATGCGTTCAAAGTTTAAATACACTGCGATGGTCAACTTCGACTTGTAAGTCGTTGTAGACTGAGGTTTATATAAACCTGGACTAAACACATAACAGTTAGCCGAACTGGGGTTTTGTCGTTTCGCTGATGACTGATGATGTAAAAAAAGCCAACCGTAATATAGTTACTCCAGTCCTATTCACAAGGGATCTATTTCGCCCAGTTGTAAGAACCATACAAGGTGCAAACGCAAATTCCTCCTCAATCTGTTCTTACACCACTTAACACTGTAGCATGGAAACATGCCCTGTTCTCGTTGCTTTTGCAATGCAATTACTTTTAAATAAATCTCTGCGATAATGTAATTTTTTTTTAACTGTCTGTGCATCAGCATCTTTGGATGAGAGAAGCCTGGTTTCGTCCACTTACTTTAAAATTTTATGCGTTTGCCAGTTAAATGAACATTGACTGGTCTACAGAGTCAAAGAGTCCATAGCTGTTTAGCATAGCGAGAAAGCTTTCTCGCGACGTGCACTGGCCAACGGCCAAGGTAGCGTTCTCCCGAGTCGAAATCAACCAATCAACCTTACGTTCGCCACAGCTCTGGGTGTTTACGAGAGGCCTACTTAAGGTCTTAGCACCGGTTGGTTACCTAACCCACTTGATTGTAATATATGATATAGGAATAGAGACTTGCGCATGCCCAAAATGTACAAGTCTCGGAGCACCACGTCATCGACTTCAGACACCTCAAAACTCGGCAAGGCGGTCGCCTTCGCAGTCTTATCCTTAGGATTGCTTCTTGTCCTCGGTATTCCATTCGTGTCTGTCGCAAGAAGTCCCTCCCCTGAAAGAGACCAGCACGTCAGGGCCTCGAGCGGAGAAAAATTATATGCATCGCCAGGTCAAATCATTCAACAGCCAATTGACCCGCATCCTTTGGCGAGTGACAGCCATCGAAATTCATTGAATCCCACCAGCTTTGTAAATGAGGGTATGATAGAGGATAATCCGGATACGACTAATCTCCATTTTTTGAAGATTTATTATTTTCTTTATTCGAATAGGCAGATGTAATTTCTAATCCTCTAAACTTTAAGGATTCGTCAAGCTTGTGCTTGGCAGTGAAAATCTATTTCCATCTTCTCTTGATACGGTATTTTTCAAAGTTAGAGTGTCCATAGGAAAGCAGAGATTGCTGTTTTACATGTTTGCGACTCCACCGCGCAATTGAGCACCAAGGGGGACAACAGACAGCTGACTGAATAAATAAGTGCTTCTATCTTCTCCGAAGGCCCATTCGCTTCCATGATTTGATTTATGCAGTCTGACATAATAAAGTTTTTGACTTACGTATAATAACATGAATTTATGAGACCTACGTAGAAGTTCCTTGGCTATTGTAAGATGGAATTTCGAGAGTTATGGTGACTGTCTCCGCTGCATCGATGGAGTAAATCTTATCGGATCGCCGGCACTCAGTGCGTGATACAGGAAACTTCTTTAATGCTCACTTCCACCGGTGTCCACAAGGGAAGCTAGACCAGCGATCTGAAATTCACTATGGGCATCAGCAGAATTAATAGATTTATAAGGATTTCACGAAGTTTTACCCACATTGTGTCCACTGTGAATGCTAACTGAATGCATGTGAAGCTCAGGCCTACTGGCGAATCTTACTTGATGAAGCGCAGCAGTCGAAAGCACGATTTACCCATCGCCCACGCATGTGAGCTTAGTAGCATGGTAGCGTTAATGATGTTAGACAAGTCGTCTCAGACACGAAGTACGTTCCACAAATATTCCTGCCCTCTGTCGCTACTATCCTAACAGCCTGCTGATAATAGATGGAATATATAGCAAATAATCATCATTATTTGAGTTTGCATGACCAGTTTTTGAAAGAGGACACTGATTGTCCATATACTATTAGGCACCTTTATGAGAGACGAGGGCCTCTCGAATTCTGAAGCGGATTCAGTACCTACACAATACAACAGTGTGGAGCGTGGTTCTTTACTCCTACTCAAAGAAGGTAAGTCCATCTCTCTTTCTAGTGGGTCTAATGTGCTTTCAGATACCGGAGTTTCGTGGGACGGTGTAGAAGGAAATAGGATCCGAAGTTCGACCGGTCCATTAATGCCAGGAGACACCACAATCAGAAAAACGGAGCAAGTGTAACGTTTTTGTCTTTTTTACGCCATATTGGTTTATTACGAGCCTCTGGCTGTTCTGTTAAACGACCTGAGCTCCGGACTTCCTGTTGCTGGAAGTCCAACATTCATTGGCACTGAAGCACTTGACGGGAATCCATGCTTTCGTATGTAAGTGCATTATGCCACTGTGAGAAGTAGAATTTCTGCGGGCAAAATATGAGCACTTCCGAGGATGTCATAATTAGAGCTTACTGTTGAGATAGGCTAACGAGACAAATGCCTACAACTGTCTTCGCCATATTTATGGGCTTTCAAGTTAGGAGCTGAAAATTTCCTGAAAATTTGTGACTCCATAAAAATTATAAAAATGCTAAGTATGTTACTTCTCTCAGAAACTAATGCGGGGATTTCAGGTCCATTCTTCTAGACAAAATGTCTCTGGCTTGATTCGATTTTCGCGGCTGATATTTGAGTATACCAAAAACACACGCATAGTTCGTATGAGCAAAGTCCTCGCAACTGCGTCATGCAGGGATCCGATACTAGCGAGATCGTGTCTAAACACTCCCCTCTCTTATGTGCCATTCGACTATTCGAGTCTTCTCCTCAGTGCTTTGTCAAGTCGGACACAGTGACGGACGAATGCAGCCCATCTATACGTCTCACACACTGACTAGTAACCACTTAGTGGGCCAGACTAAGAATCATACCCACAAAGTGAGACCCATTTGCTCTGATATGCTACCTGTCGCCCACTATATCGGGGATAACAAGATGTCTTACATGCTTAATGCAGGGAGATACATGGAGTCTTAAGGCAGTTGGCATACATGAGTGTGTTCTGGGACAGGTCCCTATCTTGTCTAGGCGTTCATGTGTGTAGGTAGATGGCGCTTGATGATGGGCTTGGTTTTTGATGTTGTATTGAGGACTATCAAACAGTCGGATCTGACAAAACAGATTCGTGTATTTACCGCACACATCCTAAGGCAATGTAGACAAGTGAGGCGGGATTAACAAGTTACTTCGGGTCCAGTGGCACTGGTAAATCTGTCTCAGGTAAGACGCATTTGCTGGTGACCGCCCAGATCGATGAGCGATGAGAAAGTGTGACCCCCTGACAATAGTTTGAAATCAAATGTACATTTTTTGCGACTGGTGCACTGATGGTGATGTTTGACAGACTTGACTTTGGCAGACATCGCTCTTTACCGTGGCACGGGCTGCTCACTTGGCATCGAAGGTAATTTCTGTGATCCTAATGGCAGTGCGATTGTTGGTCGACCTACAGTAAAAGTACTTCCAAGTGTCGTGGTTGAGTTTCGGGGGTTTGAGTTAGGTCTCCAAGTTGGCCTTTTAGGCACGATTTTGTCTGCCTGGAATGTAGACACAGGTTCCCACGTCGCTGTAGCAAAGCCGGCCCTGCAGGCTCACTCCATTCACGTTCACGATATGACCACTTCATCGTAGTTGCATCTACCTCAGTACAACGCGGAAACTAGGGACGCATTTTATTTCGAATGTAAGTGAATCTAGTATTCCATCCTGCCAATTCACTCTCCACAACTCCTGAAGGCCGATGACTTAATTTTGCAGGTTGTCCGCGTGTCCGCGCCATTTGAGAACATTGCCAATAGGACAAAATAGTCTTTTCTTTGTTTCGTGTTAATGTGCATGCCACAGCCTAAACAGCCTGTCTGCAAGGCGTCCCACACATAACCATAAGCATAAAGCCAATTATTGCAACTAGTATGGTCATATGTAATTTAGGTGACACTGTCTGGTATGTGAATGACGCTGGTTAATGCGAATTTTGACGAGTGGGGAGTTAGAGTAGGAATGAATCCTCATAAAAGGAGAGAACAGAAGCAGCGGACAGGACGCTCCATCCCACAAACACCCCGGTACTAAAAATTTGCGTCCATAAATCCTGGCTTTCTCCGTGCATAGTTTGAGGGGTGCCCATGCAAGGTGGATGTATCGGCCTGAGTTGACAAATCTTTAGGGATAAGGCAACCATACAGGTCATATGTACTATTGAAAGGTATCTCCTCGTGACTTCCTTTAGGAAAGGGGAACGGGGTTAGGGGTCAGCAAAGAACTTCTCACTAAAACACAGTACATTTTTTTGAGCGTACTTATACCCCTATTATTTTGTTTATCTCTGTCTCTATATGATAGTTGAAAAAGTAGCAGTACAATGAAATACGGCATTTGACAACATTGTAAAATTACAACGGAACCCCGGAACAAATAAAACTGCCTAGGTTTTATGGAGGCCATTCCCACTGGAAAATGTTTATTTTGGGGATTTGCCAACATTGCAAAACGGTACTAATATTGTAGTTACCAAAAAAACAGATGCAAAAATTCTCAGGTTAAGTTCTAGATTTGATTTGAGTAATTGCCCATAACGAAAATCAAGTCAGGAAACCTGGGACAGACGCCGACGAGCCAGAAACCTCGTTGATGCTTAAAAATGGCGGCAGTCTTCGAAGAAGTACGTTTCTGCACCCTCAACTAGCGTGCGTTCTGGAAGCATGCAACCCCGACGTTATCATAAACGAAGTTGGATCGCTCGACAGGTCACGGGGGTTGCAGCAACTTCCAGGGACGTACTTGGAGACGAAGTGTAATCGTAAACACCCATCATTGGTAAATTAACCTCCCTAGGCCCGGTATTGTTAAACTTATGCAAAGGACGCCATCCACGTCGTACAATAAGTTTTCAAAGGTGTACTAGTACTAGGCACCTGAGCGGTATCTCTTAGAGCCTGTCAGTTGACCCAGGCAATTATCATGCGGACTTCACAGAAATAATATTTGCCGAAGTTTTTTGCGCAAATTAAAAGCTAAAATAAAACAGAGAAACACAGGATAGATTTCTCTACAACGTGCGGTGAAATGGAAGTACGCCGAACAATTTACTGCTTCCGAGTATGAATGCAACTGAATCTGGCAAACCAGGTAGGCAGGGCTCGGAAAAACGGTCCTGCTTGGTCATTAAATTAGCACTTTCGTGCTATTACTGACTTTGGTAGGCGGTCAAAATTACTCACTCTCCTACTTTTATTGATGTCAGCAAGCTTAGTACCACTAACGGATTCTTTCAGTTTGGGTGGTTGCGGATGGCTGTGGTTATGAATCGCAACTACGTTGGGGTCCGTGTCTTGCGACTCGGAATACGGCTTGGGTTCTAGGGCTAAGAATCGGGTTCGAATTTTGAGTTTAGGGGTATGGTTAAGAATGAGGATTAGGGTTTAGGACTCGGGCTACGGATTAGGGTTCAAAGTACGGGAGTCTTTTGGCACCAGCATATTCGACGTAATACGTCTGTTTGGTCATATTCTTGGGAAGATCGGTTTCAATTACCGTGACCGGCCAATCATCCTTTCTTTTTGTTAAATTGCTTTTACCCGTTATCTGAAGTGGATTTTTGTATTGCGCGCGGATTACGCTGAGATCTTGGCACCCACTGAAACATGCTAGCACATTTGCCTATAATACATGCGTTTTTCTTTTTGCTTTCGCATATATTTTAACCGTTGTCCCAAAGGCCTACGCATTAAAACCCTTTTTCCATGATTTCCGTATTGCACGCGCCTGGGCCTCCCCTATTCCCTGCAGGACCGCTTTCCCGAACCTCCTCTTGATATTTGTTTTGTCACGAATGTGATTGCCGTCTTTTATCTCTGGCACTACTTCCGTGTAGGGAAAATGAGGAATTGCGATCGCTGTCGTGGAGGGCACAGGATACTGCTAGCGCCATCGCGGAAGAAGCGAGAAGTCGCAGCCGACGAGCAGTCACGTCATCTAAAGAACACATCTGGCCGTCTGGAATTATTCCTTATGTAATAGGACCGCAGTTTTCTAGTAAGCATGACCATTGTTTGTGATTTTTTTGTCCCAAAACAGGCTAATTATTTTTTTGTGTTCGTTCATGTGGATGTGTCGTCTATAACTGAGCGCTTTTCCTCTCCGGAGCGATATATGCTTGTTAACCAGCCGCTAGGTTTTACAACTCCCTTGTCTTTCCTTCGATCTTAAGGACAGCGTCACACATTTGAACACCTATTAGCGACGTGACGTATGAATTTCTGGCGACAGCATGATTGTCAGAAATTAGAGTTTACATATAGACCACGAATGGCAGTATGGGCAATTTCCACGCATATAGACTGCTCTAATTCTCCCCAGAAATATTATGGTCGATTCAGCCATGTTAAATTAATCTAGAATTTTTGTATAAGGACGGAATGTGGGAAACCTTAATGCAAAAGCCGAACCGTTCGCAAAGCCTTCAGTCAACTAACGAGGCAAACAAAAGGCACAGGTCATTACATGTTTATCAGACGCTGTCCCACGCACACCACCTAACTGGAACAGTGAGACAAGTCATGCCGATAGTCTAAATCAGCGCCCATTAACGTGAACCGAGGGTTATGGGGAAGAGTACAAGCACAGCACTTTCGACAGTAAAACCTCAATTCGTATGTACATTTTCATGTGACTAACACTGTTGAAAGCAGTATATACTGAAGGTCGTAAATGCGTTAAGCAAAATGAGTGCTTTGTGTATAATTTTTGGAATGCGAAGGCCAGTGACATTTTCCTGGCAGTTAGTTTACATCGTAAACTCGGAAGTGTGTTACTGTACTATCTTTAGAGCTTAAGTGCTGAAAACAGTTCTTAATAAGCATTTCTGTGTTACACACTTTTTGAATTTGACTAAGGCTACGCAAGAACGATCATTATGAATGCGATGCGAATGTGGGAAAACGTCACTTGCCTCAGTTTTGTCGAGCGGGAGCCCCACCACCAGTCCTATATTATCTTCACCGTTGAGTCCTGTGGGTGAGTGCTTTTTACAATGTGTATATCAAGTGTATTAGCAGTAGGAGTGAGTTCTTGCCTGTGTGACGCCAAATATGAGGTCAGATGCAACCTGACCATTTAAAAAAAAATCGTTCAATATCACTATCAATTTATCCGTATCAGTGCATTTCAGGGAAAGTAGGTTTGCACCTTTGAAATCCCTATTGGTTACATGCAGAGGAAGTATGTGGAGAAATTGAAAAGGAAGTAACATGAAAGAAATGCAAGGCGAATAACAAAAACTTAACAGATGAGCACAAAATTTCATGCGTTTACAGAATTTAGAGGCACGTGAACTCGGTTTGTAAATTAAATACCGCAGACAGTTGAAGCACACTTAAAATCCAGTGAAAGAAGTAAACGTTTTTAGTCTACAGGCATCGTGGTGAATGCGAGCAGCGGTGGGCGACATGGTCCAGACGTAATAAATTACATAAACGCATATTACTTAATTGTTGGTAGTAGAATCGTCATAACACTTAATTGTCAGCGATGGCCATCAAGGTGGCCGTAGTCCAGCGTTATTGAGTGCGCGCTCCAACGTTGATCTAGCCTCCGTCTAAAAGTATCTACGGATCCCGACATGACAACATCCTCAGGCTAGGCATTCCAAGCTGCAACCACTCTGTTGGAGAGGAAGAACTTTCGCGTGTCTAGCCGGGCACCAGTCACACGCAGTTTGAGTGGATGGCCCCCCAAGTTAGTCGTAGCCGTCAACTCGAAAAAGTCACCAGATGCGAGGCATCAGCTCTAATTGCGCACGATGCGGAAAGCTTGTATCAGGTCCCCACGTAGCTGTCTGTAACTCAAAGGAAAGACGTGAAGATTAGCTAATCGTTTTTCGTAGGGTATTGCTCGCTGCCCAGATGCACGTTTCTTTGCTCGCCGTTGAACGTTTTCGAGTATTCCGAAGTGATTAGCGGCCCAGGGTCTCCATGCTTGGATAGCGAACTCCAGATGCGGTCGCACGAAATCTTGAAAGACCTTGGCGAAGAAGTCCTCATCAAAGGAGGAGAACCCCCGTTTGACGAGGTATAGAATGGACATCGACGACTTGGCCACCTTTGAACATTGCAGAGGAGGGTTAAGCGAGTTTGTGTCCATGTATTTTGAAGAATTTACCGTGATTTGACATTGAAACTAAATAATACTGCCTAGGTTACTTAACTCTGCCGCCTTATTTTCCCGTAAGAAATTAACATAGTATGCTGGATGTTTGAATAGGCTGGTGAGCAATATTTATGGGAGTGGAGGCATTTAGGTATGTGAACCTGTCGAAGTACGATAGTCGACATCTCAACGGTCAAAAGTCAGAGAAGGAGGTTAAATGAACAAGCTCTATCGTGGCAAGAGAGTGTGCAGGTAGGCCAGCTAGTAATTGAAGTCTACGTTCTCACCAAACAACTGTTTGATGCTGCGGTTTCTGAGCGCGTATATTTATGTCTTGTCTCTACTACCCTACGCCACCCATCAAAGGACGTAGTGCTGATTGGCCTTAAGCTTTCGTCAGGCTAGTGAAAATCATAGGCGACCCTAACAGCGATTTGACTGGAAGCGCGAGGCGGACAGAAGTTGGCATGAGCAATCAACCGCTCCGAGGATCAGGGGCGCAAACTCTCACAAACCCGATAAGTAGAAGCAATCGCTAGAGCAAGAGCTGTTTTGCCTGACGTTTCGGATTCTTGCTCGAAACCATCTTCAGAGACTGTTACAAAAATGGGCGATTCGTGCACAGGAAGTTGCAGTATTTATAGAATGCAGTCGCCATGCTATTGTATACCTAGGACAATTAAACGCGCTCCCCTTCATCGTCCATCGCTGCCCGCTGGTGCGTTAATTGCCTAATGGCCAGCAGGCCAGGTTTCAATTGCTGAAATCTCTTCACACATGTTGGACACTGGCAAGGGCGCGAATAGCCGAACACGCGGCATCGGTGTGGAGCGACGACGCCAACTCCCAGGTCGCGGACCAGTAAACGAGACCCGGCCACAAATATAAGTTCGATTAGGTCGAAACTCTGGCGAGAGGTTATAATCACGTGAGCCGCGAGATGCTAGAGTCATGTTTCACGGGACGCCAGTCCATCAACAACTGCAACGACACCCCCACTCCATATTCGGTGCTGAGGCATAGTCTGGCCAAAGTAATTAACCACTCGGGGAGTGCGCAGGTCGGTGAGCCAGATGGTCGAGCAGTCATCACGCCAGCATCAAGCACAGGGAGGACGGTTAATTATCATAGGTATGCAGTAGCCTAGCGATTGAATCCTATAAATACTGCGAATTCATGTGTACGAATACCTCGTTTCTGTCACTGTCTTTGGTGCTGGGTTCGAGCAAGAATCCGAAACGCCAGTCGAAGAAATCCTTTGTTCCAGCAATCACTTCCACTTCTTATCAACTGGTTCCTGGAACTCGCGTCTTCGCTTATGTTAAGAATCTCTTAGACATCGTGTTTATCCTACCGACAGCCATGAAAAACACGTCGGTTCCGAAAATAAATGTCTTCAAACTGCGATAAAGAAAACTAATGCCTGAAAAATATCATGCTTTAGGATATAACAGAAAAGGACAAGGGAGAATCAGGTGTGCATTTGTGGCTTTTTGCCGCTTTCAGTCAACATTGCCCAACTCCAGGTTTAACTGTGACTGAGGCTCAAACCCATGCTACTTTGGTTATTAGTTCAACAGTTTAGCCAATGAGCGACGGGTTCTTGCAATCTCGGTTGCGATCTGGAATACTGTTTATGTTGTAAATGCGTTTCCCGTGCGGGTCACGGATGCGCGTGTCCCGTCGTGCTTTGGAGTCCGATTTAGAGTCCCACAGGCCGCGCGCAATGGCTAGGAGAATAGGCCAACAAGGATGACTGAGGTGGACACTCTTGGTTTCACGGTCGTTGTCTGACAGACTTACCTAAACCCAGGTTTGATTGCACCTGAAGGTTTGGATGGGCATATCCCGTTGTCCGACAACACAAATGTGCTTTGGCTAACCGCAGCATAAACAGTGCCAGGATGCATGCTGGGCCGTTTTTGCATTCATCAAGGATCTGTGGAGATCCAGTCTCACGTTCGTTATTTGAACGTGTAAGGTAAAACTCTATAGTGTTCTTGAAATTGGGATTTTCACGTCTGACGTAGAATTGCCTTCAGCAAGGAGAGGCGAATACGATTTTCCTAATGTACATTTCAAAGTAGTGGTGGTTAATTCGTCTCAAAAAAACATTGTCTACCACTGATCCATGATGTGGGCGCGGCCACGACTTGCACATACACTCATTAACAATGAAGCATACTCTCGCTGCATCAGTCACAGACCTTTTTCCTTCACCAGTCAAGATGACCGCCAGTAAACGCTGGTACATAAGAAAGCTAGACAGCACGTCAGAACCTCCCACTCAGGGCTTTACCAAGTTTGCCTACCAACGGAAACGACTACAGTGAGTGAACGATCCCATGGGATGTTGGCTGAAATTCCCAAATGCGTTTTTGATTAGAAAGGCATGATTAGGCGCGGTTGTAATACTGATCATCTTGCTGCATAATCCTATAGTATTTCGGACTCAGCAGGATGTCAGTTTTAAAATAAACTACTTTTCAAACTCCTATAGGAACCATTCTCGGCAAAAATGACTGCTTAAGTAGCATACATTTTTCTCATTGATCTTCGATGGTCTAGCAAATGCTTTCACCCCTTGCTGCAGTTCACTGCAGAAGCCGAGGCACATAAAGACATTGTCTTTCTCGATGTCCTTCTGCACAGGCACGAGGATGGGTCTATCCAGCGCGGGGTGTACCGAAAGAAAACCTGGACGGAACATTGCGTTAATTTCCACAGGTTTGTTCCCCTAAACATCAAACGGAATTTAGTCCAAAGATTGGCAGCTAGAGTGAAACGAATCTGCTCACCCGAAGCTATTGAAGAAGAAATCAAACAGCTGCGGATCACTCTTCGGGAGAACGGATACCCAAATAGATTTATCCTCCGACATCTTGGGAACGCGTCGCAAAGCCCACCGTTCCGACTGCGGAAAAGGAAGAGGTATTCATAAAATTGCCTTTCACAGGAAATGCAAAGGGCGAGTTAGTCAGACGGCACTTAACTACAGCTATCACGAGGGCATTTTCCGCTGCGAATTTACGCATATGCCTCACGAAGTTGCCCCTCTTATGTCTGGCGGGGGGGGGGGGTAAAGACAGACTACCGTTGGAGGTCACATCAATGTGCATTTATTCATTCAATTGCTCCTGTGTAGCAAGATTGATCGGCCGCACTAAGAGACGTCTGGTTAAGAGGGTGCGGGAACACATGCCCGCCTGGCTAGACAGAGGTAAGATCCGGTCGATTTGGACTTCTATTTTCGCACAGTTAATCAATACGAATCACCCAGTCGATGCCAAGAAGGCATTTCAGGTTGTCTACTGGACGCCAACATGCTTCTCTAGAGGCCTACGCCAACGGATACTGGCAACGGCTGAGACAGTGGCTATAGGGCTAGCGAATGCGGTGCTATGCTGTCAGAAAACCCTGACACAAACGCTCTTCCTGCCATAGTCAACGCCAACCCGAAGTGATGACGACACGCCGCCTCAAATCATTAATTACAGTGATAGCTACTCCGTGTACTCAATCCAAGAGCATCACTCAAAGACTCTCTTACCCACCTCCCCAAGCTCTGAGGACCAACACCCGCCGACCTTGACATGCGAGCGGCGTGGGGATGATGAGTGTTAATGACTAAATAGCCTTTGAGACACCTATAAGCACTGTCGATTTTGTACATTTTCATCCCTTCATGTAATTGTATTGGCCTGAGGAAGAATAACCGAAACACATGTTTGCCAACTTAACTTCTCAAACAATTTTTGAAAGGAACCCTGGAAAAAAATATGCTCTCTTTTAGCCGTTTGGCAGAGAATCAATTCAGCGTTATATTTTATGCTTGAAGAATGAATATAATTAGGTTTTAAAATGCTTAATTATGAATTTTTTTAAGACGGAGTAATATCCATTCATAGAGCATCGTAGCTGTCCGTTTACCACATGTCCTCGTGAAGTGTACGACATAGTACGCATCCATTGTAAAATTTATAGACTCTTTATGATGCTTTTTTAAAGGCATCGAAGAATGTGGTTTTCTTTATGCAGAAGGCGTGCACCTTGCAGACTGAAATCACTAAGCCCGAATGCAACGACTGATCAGGCTCCAAATTATTCGGTAATTAAAAACCTTTTCTAAAAGCTAATTATAATCCTTCATTTAGCATAAAATAAAACGATGACTTGTTTCTCTGTCAAACGGCTGAAAGAAAGCATATTTTTATTCATGTTTTCTATGAAATATATTTTAACTTGCAAGACCATCAAAAATCATTGCGAAAAATGTATGCTAATTATGTAGTGATATTTTCCCGAGTACGCTTTCTAAGGCAGTTAGAAAAGCAGTGTGTTTAAAGGCCGAAATCCTGCCGAGTCGGAAACACTATAGGATTATGCCGCAAGGTGATCAGTATTAAAAGCGCGCCTAATCAATCCTTCCTAATCGAAAACGCTTTTCAGAATTTCAGCTAATACTTCATGAGATCGCTCACTCACTGTAGTCGTTTCCATTGGTAGGCAAACTTGGTAAAGCCCTGAGTGGGAGGTTCTGACGTGCTGTCTAGCTTTCTTATGTACCAGCGTAAAGTACCAGTAAAGTAAAGGGCTAAACAAGCCCACTCCGCAGGTCACACGCCGCTGCTCCATACAAGTGGCTGGGGCGGCAGGGGCCTGCGTCTTGGCGCGCTTCCATCCCCCACATCTGTGGCAATCGGTCTAGGTGCGCAGCTTACAATAATGCGTTGCGTAACATTAGCTGAGTTGTGTGTCCTTGAAACTGAGCTCCTGCATGACCCGTCATAGAGGGCACGGTCTCCACCTGGCACATAAAAGACATGGACTCTGACGTCAGCGTGGCGAACGGTGCTAAAAAGCCCGCTTTAAGAAAGAGCCATTGAGAATTGGCTGTTGCCCGACGAGATGGTAGACGTTAATAATTCTGTCTATAACTAGAGACACACAAGGATGGATTTCACAATAACGGCCACAATCCTGAGCTGAATGTCCTAATTTGTCACTTGACAGATGGCGAGACAAAGCATAGTGGTTAGCGTGTCGGAGCACTTTTGACTATTGAATGTCACATTAGCCCACATATACTATTTTAGCAGATTTTTGGTCCACATACTGGCGTAGGTAAAAACAGGTTTGGGTCTGATATCTGGGAAAAGGGTGGAAATAGTCAGTGCGTATATGACTAAGATTTAGGCGAAATGACAATTAAATTGTTATGCCAACATCATAAAGGTCACTAGTGAGTTTTATTTGTCATATTTCACAGGGCTCAAATATATGCACCTAAAACGTTCCGGCTGGTATAATATCTCAACAGGGACTCAGCAGAAGGTGTAAGTTCTCGTGGAAATCATGTGAGGAAATTATGATCAATTATTAAACAATGAACTGAGTTGCGGAAGACAATTCACCTTCAGACTTTGATGTGAGGACGCTGTCTAGTTGAACAGAAGATTTCGAAGGGCAAAACATTAGCCACAAGTGGTTTACTGATGAGTTATCACTCTTGAAATCAGATCTGTGAGAACCGATAACATGCTGTCACTCATTGTAAAAACTACCTAATTGACTTCCCTTATCTATTTTCATTAAAACGTAGGTGCTGCTCCAGTGTTGGCCGTCAAAGCGCAAGCCAACCACAAACGGTTTCGATCGCTCCGCACTGTGAGGGTGAGACACTCGTCATGCACGAACTCGGACATGTCATGGGGTTTTGGCACGAGCAGAGCCGACCCGATCGCGATGGTGAGTTTCTGAACGATGTTTCCAATAAATCGTCAATGTTAACAGCTGATCGGCGGCCGTTAGCTGGCTGCACGGGCACATCTGTCCAATACTGCCTTAAATTGTCATAGCAATTACCTCTTTCCTTTTTGCAGCATGATACATGTATGGCCAACTTTTCACAGAGCGTTATTAACAAACACAGATGGATATTGGTGAATTTCGTTTTTCAGTCTACAGTATGACTGGCTGGGATGTCAATTCAGGTTTACGAGAAGTATTTGGCAGGGCTGCTTTACACAGTCACCCAAACAGGACATGGCAATAGGAACGGTGGGCCCAAGTAATAAAGGCGGAACTGCACATAATTCCTGAAGGGGTATAACTTCCCCCTGTACTAATCCCAACAAGGCCTGTAATGTATAACTTTACCGTTTTTCTAATCTTGACATTATCGCTAACCTAGAACTTGACACTGTAGCTAACATTAACCCCAACGTTAACCCTAAACTCGGTCCCGACTTATCTTAATGTAAACTTTGAATTTACCCTTTTACCTAATCCTTAGGCTGATCTAACCCTAGCCTTGGAACTAACCCTGTTTCGGTTGGTATTTAACGCAAAGGAACCCGTTTTACAAGTGGTTACTGTTTGCATATGCAATTTGGGGGCTACATAAGTCAGTGCCGCCAAATAATCTTTTAGGTGTTTGTTTTGTGGTGGAATTACGTCCACTGGCAGTTTGTAAGAGCAATTTTGCGGTATCCACTTTTATTTGTATCAGAAATTTGGGCAGCATAAAATGCTTGTTTGCATCCTTTTCCATATTAGATTATGTGGAAGTATTTGAGGAGAACATTGAAGACACAAAATTGTTTAATTATGATAAGAAGGGTACTGATGTCATTGATTCACTTGGCGAACCCTATGACTACTACTCTATTATGCACTACCACGATGCTGCCTTTATCAAATCTGACAAGAATCAAACAATGAGGCCTACCAAATGCTGTCCAACTCCAAAAATTGGCCATGCAATTACGCCCAGCGTCGGTGACATTAGACAGGCGAATAAGCTCTACAACTGCCCCTGTAAGTTGAGTTGTGCTTGTCACATTTATCCGGATGTCCCCGCATTTCAGTGACTTTAAAGTTCCTTTGTGTATTGTGACAATTTATGCCCCCATGTACATGGCTAAAGAGTGCCATTCACTTATTAGCGTTTATGTCCTTGACTCGATGGCTTCTGTTGGTCATTAGGACCATTTTAGCCCATGGCGCGTGACCATAGGTGATGCGGGACGTTCAAAAACGAGGTACAGTTAAGAGACATTTAGCAAAATCTGAGCATCAGGATGGTTATCTCAGTAAAGTTCATGCCCACATGGTGTTAAAATATTACTAATGTATGATGCATATATATGTATATACGCATGTTATGCATGCATATGATAAAGGGTGCTCGCCGATGGTGTCACGTGACAAACTCGTTTAATTGCCCTTTGGATTTACTCTAAAGCCCCATCATCAGGCACTCTATGGAAACTGCAATGGTCATTTCCGGTTTATTAGCCTTCATATTCAGCCTCGCAAACCGCAAGGAACATAACCTATGAGGTCTGTTATGCGATTGGTAACCCACCCCTAATATAGTAAGTTTGCTTGATCGGAAAAGACAGGACAATCCTGTGGCACTAATCGATTTAGATGTCGTGTACAAATTCTCCAAAATCTAGTGGACACAAACGGAACCGTTGCCGATAGGCTGGCGGGGTACAATTAACGCGTATTGGCGGAGTGTGCGGTCAGTCGCGGATTCATCTATTAGACACGGTTAAATAGTTAACTGTTTCCGCAGATGACCTATGAGTCTGATGGCGACCTGTGAATTTCTATCCAGACTTTGTGCAGTAAAATTTGTTTCTTTATCAGAGAATTGATCTATTTCTAGTTTAATATTCTGGAATGCCTATTGTTAATTACGAATAATTGCTATTTTTGGTAATCCCTTGGGGCGGGGAACAAGGTCTTAGGTAAAATACGACTAGAAACAAATTTTGAGACTTGCCGCCACACTCTAGTTTCTCGTCCCACATACAAATGCAGGATGGCTATTATCAATTGGTTATGGTTGGATTAAGCATGTGATTTGTCCCGAAGCAATAAAAACAGTTTATTTTCTAAATTGGACATTAGACCTCACGTTTCCAAATGGACATTGCGCCTCTTTCTGCAACATACAAGTGCCAAAAGGTTTCACTAGCATGACCTACGATTCTAATCGGGCAAGTTGCGTTCTGAAACAGGGCTAATAACGTACACTGACAGTAACAAATTTATTGGTTCAGTATAACAAATAGTTTGTCCTTTTTCTCAGCAACATTTGCTATCAGATCATTTAATCAACCGTGTAATTACGATTGACGTACTTATTTCCCCAGCCTGTGGACGGACGCTTATAGAAAACTCCGGCACGTTTGCTGCTCCACTGGCCGATTCACTCCGTCGGACAGCTGAAACAAACGACCAGCAGCATGAACTGAATTTACCCGCAAAGGGAGTTAACAAAAGTCAGTTTTACAAAGAGGCCCCCTTGGAGGCTGCTATAACAAATCAAGTAAGGTCGTCCATAGATGCACTTCCCTCCCAGAGCAAGACGCATATGTCCAATCTCAATTATACCACTCAGAATTCCATTTTCTGTCAGTGGAGAATTGTAGCGGCCAATCATGAGTACATCCGCCTAACGTTCACGCATATGGACATGCTTTCTCCTTCACAGCAGTCGCCAAGTAGAAAACACAGTCAAACCATTTCTACAAAGGATTCCCGTCGATGCACCAAGGAGTTTGTTGAGGTCAAGGACGGGTATTATTCTGGCTCTCCTCTGATTGGTATGCTGAAGTTACTTATTATATCCATTAATTTTAACGGTGAGTTTAAACGTTCAAGCATGAGATCAAGTGTTTAACACTCTATACTGACCACATTCTAGAATATACATAATTCAGTCTAGGAATCGAAATGCAGCTGGGGATCTACGAAAGCAAACACAAAAATAAATTATCAATACCAGAGACGTCCCATAGAGAAACGGGAGTTTTATTAACCTATCCCGTTATTTGTCGGTCATGCTAACACATTTGGTTTTCGCTTACGTATGCGATGCGGAAAACGTCACTTTGTTACCAACCTTTCAGTCCCTTGTTGCTACCAAATTCTTTGAATCGAACGTACGTCTCAAATCTCGCACGTATTCTTCATTTCACCCGATACATCATCAGGGAAGACGCGATAAAGGTACCAGTCTATTTTGGGGTCTTTTGCTAAGGTCTAGCGAAATTAGGGCCACCGTTAAGGCTGGGTTCGGCGTTAAGGTGAGCCTTAGTGTTGAGGTTAGGGTGAAGGTTAAGGTAGGGTAGGCCAAGATTAATGTTAGGTTTAAGGTAAGACCTAAGATTAGTGGCAGAGTTTAGTTTAGGGTCACTGTTAGTGTTTAAGCCGGTCTGATGATAAGCGTTACGCCAAGGGAATATTTATATTTCTTTGAATTTTGTGTCATACGACCTTATTACTGAGCTTCTTATTTTCGTAACTTATCCGTTATCAAGGCGCAGGAAATGAATAAGCAATCTGGTAATATTCAGGACAAATGGTAAAATCTTATTGTTTTTTGGACACAATTTAAACAATGAAATGCGTTGTTCGATTATTGATATGGAAGATTGTGTTGTACCCGTTTGTTTAAATAGGAGAGGATCTTAATTTCCAAAGTCATAAACTTGTGATATTCAACGTGACAATAACTCCCTGTACTTTCGTTTGGCATACTGCCCCATTTTCCATTCATAGGTAGGTACTGCGGAAAAAAAATCCCACGAACGCTGGTTTCTTCAAGCTCCAGAATGTTGATTGAATACAGACGGCCTGCGGGTCAATCAGGTACTGGATTTATTGCCCAATACAAAGGTAAGCATGCACTAAAAATATAAATTTAAGATGAAGTGGGGGATTTGACTCTTGCTTGTAGTACATGATATATGTGTTTAAAAACGGCATAAGCACTTTAATGTTTACTTGCGAAAGAGCAGTGTACTGTTGGCAGCCGAAATCACGGCTCGAAATGCCAGAGGAATCATTTGCGGTGAACAATCCTTCCTTAGACGATGCAAAGTTGTAGACAACATCGTCAATTACCTCCCTCCTATACAAATATGCCCGAAAGCCGATGAAGGGATGGCCACGGCAAACGCAAAATGGGGGCTAGAATTCCTAAAATACCTGTTACACTGCCACTTACACACATAACGAACTTATGCGCCAAATCATCACTGATCCTATATGTCAAGCCCCAGGAAAAACAATGAGCGGTCCAGTAATAGTTTATTGTCAACTCACTAAACCGCCAATTCCCTCAACTATCCTAATACTTGCCGACCTCTACTGTGACGTTGAAATCAACAGTTGGTCCATACACCTTCGTGTCTGTAGCGATATGGCGGTTCGAAGAGATGCACCCTACTTGTGTAACTTATGAAGATCGAAAATTCGAGTCACTGCTCTTCTGTGGACTCTCAGTATATGTCATTCTCTTAGGGGTATTTCATCTGAGTCCTTCAATGCGAATAACGTCCTATTACAACCGCACGTCAGAGTTTTTCGGGGTTTGTTTCCGATTCGGCAAAGACACTTAACCAAGCTGTAAGCATTGGCGTTCATTGATAGTCCACTCTTGCCTTGTTTAATTCCCGAGGAAATTAAGGCGCGAACTTGCCATAAATCTTTCGAAACGGGCCTTTTCAGCCACGCTCCAAATGTACGGTAAATCACTGCACAGTTCGATAGTCCACTCTCTTAGCTGCAACGGTAGAACCTTCTCCATCCGCAGCCAGAGCACTGATGTGTTTATCGGCCTAGAGTCCCCTTTATGGACTGCGTTGGACTATAGGACGGAATTTGTGCGGCATTAAAACGATATTACGTTGAGTGTGATTACTCATCTAACCTATCGTTTTGATATGACGGAGGACAGGCTACACTGTTGCAGCAATTTTGGTAGGTTTCATATCAGATGTGTTGTAATTGGCTCAATGCCAACAACCCTTACGTAGTCCTTATTTAGTTCCTTTGTGAATAGACTGTTTACCAGTTTTTGTTCCCTAAAACGGACAGTGCGCAAGTTGCGCTGGATTAACACGGGGCCAAAACAGGGTCCGCGACACGTTATTGGACCTCGCACCTATAACGAATGTAATTCACTGAGTGTGGTTGGACGCTACGGTGCAGGTCTACGCCTGCAGATATCGCCTGCGGTCCTTTTGATTCTCTCTTGACACCGGGCCACAGAAGGCGAGGAAGGAATGAGTGTGGTAGATGCAGTACGTGCCTACTCTTCCATTTACCTGATCCATACACAGGCCACGGCCCCTGCCAACAACCTACTGTGGGGCTCACGGTGGGCACCGTCGGCAACAACGGTCGTACTGACGGTCGTTCGATAACGTTCGACCAGCTCAATAAAAATACCTGTTCTCTGATTGTGATTCAGCCCGTCTTATGTCCTATGGCTCTATCGTTCACCGTCGAGCAGTTGTGTCCGGGTGCGGCGGGGTAGACTGCCACCAATGTTAGTTTATTTTTTATTCATGCCTACACGAGATTGCTCGTACACGAGTTCAATTTAAGAAGGAACGGTGACTTTTCCCTAAAGCGTTTACTCTCCCCAGACATAGCACCGGTTCGTTTTCGATCACAGTCAGATGACCCGATTTCGCGTATCGATGCGGGTCACTTGATAGACTTCCACATTAACAAGCATATGTGGCTTTCTGTACTTCATCATGTGGTACGCAAAAAATCAATGGAAATCTCAGAAACACTCCTGTGAGGAGTAAATTGAGCATACAGTGAGTTGCGCATTTGATTTTTATCTCCTAGATAGACATGCAAGATACCGTAAAATCGGATAAACAAACAGTATGAATACTTTGGAAGTGTGTTCACCGATCGGATTACTGGAGAGTCTTGCACTGCGCATTGGCATCTATATAGAGCTCCGCAGGGTGCCGCAGAGAGGCTGATAGTCTATGCGGTAGCCTCGCTCTGCTTATACTGCGAGCCGCAATGCGACTGTCTGCGGTGTTCTAGAGGGATTCTTGATGCACAGCAGCAAAAACGTCTCCTGGAACACGATCAGTGAATTCACATGCAACCTAATCCACATTCCTGATAAAAGGCGACATGAAAATGTCATCGTGGCTCATTGATTGGCCTGCAGACTTATCAGAACGTTATAACAAGCAACATGCTAGTTCGACCCACAAGTATTTCCAAGCTTCAGTTTGGACAAGACCGCCTTATAAGAGAAAGAGAGGGAGAGAGCTGGAAATTGTCATCCGGGTTCCGGTCATCTTTGCCGGTAATGCCATTCTGTGTATATTTATATAGGTTACTTGTTTATGAGCCCTCTGAGAAACGAATGACTTTCTGCGAATTTCCGATAACAGTTTCAGAGCTCGTCATCGGACATATAAGCAATGATTACAATGGTGACATTAAAAAAACTGCATAAAAACTCGATGCTTGTTTCGGCGACTGTCTGTGATGTCTCCATATTGAATCCCATAGAGGTACATAACACGCATATCCCCTAACGTGCTGGATATCTGCCTTTCCCACGAAAATATATACATGCATATTGCCATGTTAGTGTTGTTTACGGATAAGATTACGGGATATTCAGTTCGTGACGAAATTTATTATCGATCTGGTGACTTATCTATCAATCGAAAAGAAAATAATAAGGGTTTAGAATGACCGACCGACAAAAACAGTAGTCAACAGCCACCTTTGCGATGTCAGACAGCGTTTTTAATGCTCCGGTGCGTTAAGATCATTCGCCCTGCCTATAAGCTGTTCCAGGTGCACTGGCCTTACTACAGTTTGGCCGACTGCAGCCATATTCTCCCCACGCCGCCCTTGAACACACTAAGCAGCATAGGTATTAGGGTAACGGGACAGACAGCCCTTAAACACAAGCCATTTGAAACTGATTCCAAAAAGAAATAAAGCAGTCAACACTGGTTCCGAACTCTCTCAGACACGATTTGCTGCCGTTAGAACATCCACCGGCATTGCTAATGGTCACTGTCAACCAATATATCAAACCATGGTTCTCTGCAAAATAAGATAATTTCATTAGGCGTTTTCTGGCATTAACTGCTGATTAGGGATAGACAAAAGACAAAATTAACTATGACGGCCGTCTCCGGCTTCTAAGCCAGCGTTCAGTTGTACCAATTTCTGCAAGATCGTTGCCTTTATAGTTTTGAAAATTCCTATTGAAGAATCCAAAAGACGATTTGGCAGGTATACGTTTGCATCCGATAGATTCTCTTTAGGCCGGTGCATTTATATTGCTGTTGAAACGACTGATTAAAAAGTATGTGTAAGTTTGTAGATAATTATGCCGAAGCTGGGGTCTGGGGAGAAGGAGAGTGAAACCAAAATTGCAGTCAACGTCAGGGGGATGGTGGACACCAGGAAAGGTAGTTATATTCGGGTGCTTAGCATAGTGGCTTTGACCCATGGTAACCGTGGGGCCTGCAAGAAGTTCTCCTGCGCGCATGGAACTACTTTGTATAGCCCGATCGCAGCCGCCCAAGTAATTTTGATAGCCTCACGGAACCTTGTAAATCACTCAGAAGGCCTGTCTGACATCTACACCGTGATCTCTGTCAAAGATTACGCGAGGATAGAGCTGCCAACGCTCTTTATTTGAATCCTTCCTTAGCATGTTGGGAGGTGTTTTCTTATTCTGTTTAACAAACACCAGCTCGTGTTAGCAATATGTTCTGCTCCACAGGAGCAAGTGAAGGATTAAATGCATATAGGGGTAGGCTGGGCTAACAGTTTATCACTGACCTCTCTATATTAGGGTGGAACTTGTGGCAAAGAATACATGGGCGTCAGCTGTTGTAAAGATGCGTGGCACAGCTTGAATTAGGCGGCTTGAAGTGCGCCTGGTGCGCCGCCTTGAAACGAAACCCTGGTAGCAAGCTCTGTCTTTTTTGTCGTCAGCATCGAGGGTTTCAGTGGTGTTTCAGTAATGTACTTGTCATTTTAGTAGGAACATAGATTCACAGATCTGAAGAGAATTTATCGGAATCAAACGTATGTTTCTCAAATAGTCTTTTGAATCATCTCTTTTAGTCCATAGCTTAGTATATATGATTTTACGAAATGCTGCAGTACCAGTGTTACATAGTCGCTATGTAAAAACACAAAGGTATTTTCATTACTGGGCATGTTTGCATCCCTTTCAGGCTCTCCTCAAAGTCTGTGTTGAAAAATCATAAAAAATACATATTCGTGTCCGTTTCGTTTTGAAGAACGCGTACCACTGCCGAATCATCATAGGAAAAGGACCTTACAGGGCATCCGGATATGCAGACTATTTAACTGATAAAAATGCAGCAATTTTTGAGAAAATTAGATGAGGTTTGGAATGCTGACCATCTCGTTCAGCCGTGTGAAAGCTTTAGAGTCAGCGACATGCTCCCACAATTAGGATCTTCGAGGTATATCTATTTATAGATGCCGAATAGAGTTAGCATCCATAAGCATTAGTTGGCCCAAAGTATGCTTACAAATTGGATATTCGTAAGCGGACTTTAAGGAAAATAACTGACATGGCAGACACCTTGTAAATTTCCTTACGGCATTAGTGTTTACGGTAATAAAGTCTTTCGTCATTGTTAGTAAAGGTTTAGGAAACATACCTCTCATGATTATAATTTTGTGCCTATGGGTTGAAGTACACAAAGTCAAGAATTATATTGGATTATTTTTCTGTACTAGTTGCATGTGGCGGCAAACTGAATGAAAGCGACGGCTACATTTACAGCCCAGGTTACCCTGCCAACTACCTGCCAAACAAGGAGTGTGTTTGGAAGATCAAAGCTCCCGAAGGATTCTTCGTTAACCTTATTTTCCTGAGTTTTAACGTAAGTACCAATGTGATTGCTGCAGTTGTTTCCATTGGAGTTGATTATTATGCACCTTATTGGACAAACATAACCAAAGATAACTGTCAAACGTTATATAAGCTAAACCGAATGGATCTCGAGCAACTGGCGTCTTTTTAAATCATAAAGAACTTTGTTCTTGTTTTTCATCATCTAGCAGTTGTGTTGCTTGTTAATGTGAGGAGTTCATTTTTGAAATTAACTGCGGACCCTTGAATGTTATCGCTGCAGATCAGAATACAGTCCGGACACATATTTCCATTAAAAGTCACCTAGAGAATTTAACATTAAGTCTAAATGCCTTTGGTTATCATTGTCTGATATATTTATAAAAGCAACAGGGGAGGACTATGTCTGTAAAAGTAACGGTATTTGGTGAGCGGCATGTCCCCTACGGGGACCGGCGTTGAGGCGGTACAGTAGCCTCAGATTCGTCCATGTTGAGCAATTTCGCAGGGACTTCAATTGGCCTCCGCAAATTTACTGCCAATAATTTTTATACGAAGACTTCACATAGTTGACATCAGCTGAAACTGTCAGCGCAAACACTGCCGGGCTAAAAGAATGGTTTTGTAAATAATACGCTGATCACCGCCAGCGTATACATCCAAAAGGCTGGCACTTCACTCTCCGTCCTATGAGGGGGCTAGGGACCTGAGAAATGTTTATGGTTCACCAGATCAGAGGAATTTCATGACTGACGTTTAGGATGGCTTGGCTAGTTCCCGCGGATCTCTTGCGTTTACTAACCTGACGAGCTGGGACTTGAGAGCAGTTATGAGGGCACTGAAACCTTTCATTATCCCCTGAGAAAAACGCCCAAACGCAGCCGGCAACCTACCTCATAAATATTAACCCACTTTCTGCAATGAGCTTTTGATCGGAAAGTATGGGTTGAGTATGGTTGTGACATTTTGATTCTTTCCAATTCATGGATAATTGTGGGCGCCGGCTCTCGTAGCATTTGAGTTCAGAGCTTACAAAATGTAGATTTTTCGTCCTTCAACTAGGGAAATATCGTAAATTCCTCTAGAATATTAAATATATCATAAAAAACTCAAACACACTTATCTAAATGCGTGGATTGTCTTGCATACTTCATGGGGATGGTTTACAATGAGACGGAGAAGACGATATTTGAATGGACTCCTCGGAGTCTTCAAAAACATGTAATTAGTAAGTTTTCAGACCGAGAGATACCCGTTTATAAAATACACATTTCGAAGCAAAATTAGCCTACTAACAGTGCAAGGAAAGATACTTTTGGATATATATTCCATAATGGTAGGGAGCGCTAACCAATCCTTCTTACGGAATTCACTCGTTCCGTGCCCTTGTTTTTGTCGGTAATGCCATTCTGCCTGTACATTCCATAGCATATATCTCGGTTTACAATTACAGCGAAAGTCAGTGGCACAAGCGCATAATATTCAAGTAGCCAGTTTTGTAGATTTTGTCTTTTATGCGGCCTGAGAGCTGGTACCTTGGCATAAATAAAGTATCCCGGCATTATGCCATATGCCAAGCATGACCGCGCTAGACTCAAAATCCATTGCCCAGTTTAACTAGGTGTGATGTTAAGTATTTAACAGTGTTTTAATTATGCCTTTGGTCGTAGACGGAAGCCTTTGTGCTAAAACACACAGTCTCACAAGGCGCAAAGTACACATTACCACTTACAATGGGACTAGTCTATCTGATCAAGGCGATTGAACGAAACGAGGGGAAGCTGCGACTGGGGACAGGATATATACTCATCATCAGGAATGACATTGCCAGAAGACCACCCTTCCTCCAAGCGTAATATTCATTAGGCAAACAACGATCGTATGCATTCCTTCCATGCATATACTTGCCCTTAAAAACAACATGCAAGCCTTGATGAGGACACCACAAATTCACTTCGACGGTTTTCCGATGCATATTATTTACGCAAGGTCTAATCACATCCACAACTAAGATAGCTTTATTTAATTGCGAACGCAAACTGCAACAGAGGCTTAGGTATGTGCTTAACAATTTTCTGTCTTGAAGAACAGCGAGGGATTGACGATACGCGAAAAATAACGATGCGGAGGCTCCCTTAATGTCATCTATCATTCCATGAATTTCGGCCCTTTGCTACGGCGTCGACGTCTGGCGTGAATAAGTGCATCCTGTTGTCAGCCACATAAAGGCTTAAAGGTGCAGTTTGGGCAGCTGCGCAAAAATAACAGTTACCATAACGTCTTCAACAAAAATCAATGCCGACATAAACTTTCACTGACTGTGCAGGAGACCTCCACACATTTTACAAATATTGTCTTGCATAGGCAGATCGGAATTTACTGATCTACAATAATCAGTGTGGTTTCCCGTCTTAGTGTTGCCGTCGAAATTAACGTTGTCTCCGTGTAAATGGAAGGGTTTACTGCTCTGAGATACGTGATTCCGGTCTTGAAAACCTCATTGGAGGACAACAGAATATTTGCGGCTCGCTAAACGCATATAACGTGCCAATGCCGATTGGATGCGCTTAAAATTACCAAATTGACGGTGTTAGTTATGGACGCAGCTCTGTTTTAAAACCACAGATGGATTGATATCATTATGGATGATATACACACGGTGTGTTACGTCCATGCATACACCGGTTGTAAACGTTACTCGCGTGCCCTTTGGCTACGTGGGCTAAGACACCGTCTGTGTCCTCTAGTAGACTATGGCGCTGCGATGGTCCTCCAAACTTTGGATCATTCGCAAGCTCGTTGGCGAAAAGTGAAATCTACGTGGCGAATAAAGAATTATCGCTGGCGTGAACGTATTGTACATACTACGGTGTTTACTAAAACAGTTTCAGTTCCGCACAAAAAGATTATTAAATTTATGTGGTTCCCGCTGTTTTCATCATTTTCTCCCAAAGCGGAATCCGTTGTGTAATTTCAGTTAGGTTTTTAAAACATTTATGCCATTAAATATTACACTGTCCAACGGTCCATCATCGTATATGTTATTTATAAAACACACAAGGCAGCTTAACACTAAGTTTTCCAGATGAACTGAAACTTAAAAACTGCGGTTCACCTAAACTATTTGTTGACGGTTTTCATTTACAGCGACGTTTCTAATTTCTTAGGTCGCGGAAAGTGAGAACTGTCAATACGACTACTTAGAAATATATGATGGCCCCTCGCAAAATTCAGCTCTGCTACACAAGCTGTGTGGGTCTAATATACCATTGTCTGTTCGGTCGAGGAAAAGCACAATGACTTTGCGCTTCGTCACTGACAATACGGCTGAAAACAGGGATTTGCAATCAAGTATCACATAGGTAAATATTTGTTACAGGTATGAGTGGATAATTAAAAATGCATGTGCCTTTTAGTCCGCAAACCAAAACGTATATACGACTAACAATCTTCCTCTGTTGCACATTATATTTACCGAGCAGCCCTGAAAAGCCACAGATCTACCGCCATTGTCACCAGACAGTTATATTACACCGTCGAAATCAGCGGTCGAAATGTTATATTAGAAACCCGTTTTTGATATTGGCTGCGTAATTACACGGACTGAAGCTTCAAAACAAAACGGGACATTCAACTGTCAAAAAACACACACAGAATTTGAAGTTTTTCTAGATTGAATCTAGCCATTGATATTCTTGGCGTGTAAAGCAAATAAATCTTAATAAGAAAATTCTCTAAAACTGCATTTATCGCGTAGGGATTACATTTTCTGAGTGGTAGATTCTAGTGTGGAATAAAAAACATATTGGCGCAGTTTCCATTTATAAACTGCACGCCAAATAATTATTATTTGATGTCGTCTCTTTGACCACGTAAGTATAACAAAGAAAACAATACAAGGACACACGCCTATAAATAGTATGTTTATAGACACTTGTCAAGATCCTACAGCCTTCTGAAAAGAAATACCTACGTGATTCTGCCACGCTACATGCATGTGTTTTAACAATTGTAGCTAACTGTGGTGGAGTTTTAAACGGTCAAAATGGAGAATTGCTCACGCCAAAATATCCCGAGGTCTACCCACCAAGTCAGCACTGCGCTTGGTATATTGCTGTCCCGTCTGACCGATTCGTCCTCCTTAGATTCACCAACTTTAGTCTGCAGGACGGTGATGGTGTGAGTTTCTGTGACGCTGTCTATAAAAACTAACCATTTTATGGTTTATTTGATTTCGCAAGCTAGGCATGCTTAAGTCGTTCGCTGTAGTCTGCGGTCAGTTTGAAGTGCACTATTGTTTATGCAGTCTAAATAAATCCATGTAGAGATCAGCTGACTGAAGGGCAACTAAGCAACAACAGATTATCAGACCTTACGTGATGAAGTGTTGAGTGAACCCGAGGCCGCACAATCACCAAACTGAACCATGTGAGACAGGAGAAAGCAGAAAACCCTAGATTACAGGGTGTCGGTGGACAGAAATTTGATTTACTACCTGGGACAAAGGTGACTGCCGCTGAGGTAAGTGCGTGTGCTGACTGCGTTAAAGTATGCCTGATTGTCACTGAGAATAGGGATGCAAATGCTTTATAGGTCTGGAGGCAGTAAAATCAAGTGTCAGGTGTCCCAGTGCTATGGGCCCTATTACGCGAACAGGGACACGTCCAGTGACCGGCGTTGAACTGGCCAATAAATGGGCTGTTTTGCGAATTTGTTAAAGCAAACCGCGCTTAAACTATCTTGCGACATGTGCATGTCAGGTAGCGCACTGTTTGCGCGAGCCATAAACTACTGCTGTGCGTAGGTCAGGTATGACCGCAAGCCTAAACGTAGGTAATCACACCACATCCACACTACGACTAATTCATCGGCAGTTGCTTGATGCGATTCGGCAGTCCACTGACTGTCCACAAAAGTTAATATACATGCCCCTGGAAGCGACTGAGGAGGCGTAGACGCGAAAGCCGGAAGTAAGTCTTTTACTGTTCCGATTTTTTAAATTCGTGTTCTAGCACCGCCGCGCTACGCGATAAGCAGAATCAGATGCGTGCAATTCATGCCCATCGGGTTATCGTCTTCATATTGGTTTGGTCAATTTGCTACAGCACACTTAACAATATGAGTGACTCCCTCTACATTAAACGCGGTTTTCTTAAGTTTGAGAATGGTCTGACTGCCGGCACTCGATTTGTTACTCATTTCAACTGCATCATCCTTGTTGGGTTTTGGCGAGAAAATTACTCGGTGATTCGGCTCACTGATACTGGCACTGGAGACAGTGTTCGCCACCACACTCCCCGTGTGAATAAAAACTCTGTCTACATCACGTCTTGACGCTCAGTATAGACTGTGGCTTCGTCGAGAATTATTCATCGTCGAACTTGTAGGTGTGACCGGGGCACATTGAATGACCTGTGACTTGGAAGCTGACGTTATTTCGCCTACCTTCTGTTTCACGCCTGTCCGACCGTGTCCAGATCAGTTCTTCGACATACTTTCTTTGCATCCAGTTACATCAGATCCGAAAATGACTTTAGAATATACTTGTTACGAGAGCTTGTGGGGGAATTATGACAATTTCAGAGTCGAATGCCGATCACTGGGTATTTGTAACGTCAAGGGCAAGCACCTTCAATGAAGGGCCGTAAGGATAGTGCCTTCATCCTCTAAATATTACTATCCACTGCGCATGAATAACCCATATCTGATACTGCCTCTACGAATTCGAACGCAAATCTAAAACGTCAAATGAATAACTCTATTTTTTCAACGATTTAATCTTATTCACAACTCCCGTAGATTTGAGATCTGGGGCACAAACAGGGGAATTTAATGACACTGAGGCAGTAGGGTGGTGCGGATAAACGCCGAAAATCGCAGTATTGGCTGTCGGGTACAGTAATCACATAATTACGCGGGTAGGAATAGCAGTCTTACAGTATTTCTTTTGGTCGACTACATGCGATAAATATTATCTTGTTCTGAAATATGGTCAAAACCGCTTATTTGGCAAGCGCTATTTAGACTGAAATTTATTGTCTTCAAAAAGCGTTTTGCAGCAACATACTTCCCTGCTTCTCATAATACGGCATGTCTTCATTGTGGCAGGGCGAAAAGTAGTCGGAAAACGCCAGAAGAGCGTCACCATCCTACAAGTATTATTTGGACATTTACATTCACCGAATTCCAGCAAAGGCCATATCGATTATTAAAGCCCGGTCAATACATTCCCGATACAAATTAACATTTATTTTCGGTCACATCTAAGCAACTGCTGTACCTCTATACTCACTGCCTGCTTATTACACTATCTGAGTTAGGATATGCCTTGCATTTTCGGTACTAATTGAGTTTAAGTTGAAAACTATTATGTCGGACGTATGCAGGATGCTGCGCTATGCTCTGCTGAAATGCACACATAAGCCCACAAGTAAGGAGTACTTGTTGAGCGAAGCCATAAATAACTCCTCATGTTCTTTATTTCTTTCTGGTCTCCGTCGAACGGAATTAAAGGAGAGAACACATAAATATACAGCCACAATTTACGTCTGCAATGAGCATTTGGTTGACAAACGCTTAAAGACTCAATTTGGCTTCTGGCAGATGCCTCCTAAATGCCAGCAAGGATTCCCTAACAGTAATTTTACTTCTTCCTTAATTTGTAAGAAAACGTGCACCTCCGACTTTGTCAGGATCTATTGGACGGCACTACAAAATAAACGAAAAGTCGACACGTTTTGTGGCCCGAAACAACCTCCCCACATTACATCGATCACCAACGAGCTAAGCATTGAATTTCACTCCAATGAGCTCGAAGAGAAGCGAGGATTCCGTGCAATATTCTACACATTAATAAACCCGTGTGCTAAAGACAATGGTGGCTGCGAACAAATATGTGAGAACCGGATTTCTCTGGGCAGATGTCAGTGTAGATATGGCTACAAGCTGCAAGGCCTGTTCAAATGCATCAAGGTGAGTGTCTATGCGGGCCTTCTTAATCAACCAACGTCCCTTCCCGTCTACGCTCCAGTGTCCTTGTGTGAAGGCCGCTCCACGCTTATTCGTAAATATCTGCAATGAGGCGCAAACACGTTACTTATGCGTCTTATTATCTCACAAAAATATACCGCATCTTTGAGGAATTACTGTACTACTTACTGCCTGTCAGAGTTTTGTGCAAACTGGAAATGGATGTTCTATTTTACCTGGAGAATTCAAGTCTAGAACGCACACAGACTGCAGGTGTCCGATGGTTTGTTAATTTTTTTACCAATTCAGTTGTTATTTGCTTCTGAAAACGGTTGGATCGCAGTTGACGTTCCTATGGCCACAGGAATATGCGATCTGCTGTTGAGGCCCTAAGTAGCTGTGACTTGACAAAACGCTTAGGATCTATGGAAGAGACCTAGTCCACAGACCAACTGTACCGTTTGTGGACGTATGTCTGTGGTAGCGGTGCGCTCACCGATCGTTCTTACGGAACTCTCTCGTCCCGTTGTGCTTGAAGGCGGTTTTTGAGCCCAACCAGCAGCCGCACAGCGGCGGATGATATATACAGTGGTTAGAGGCATTGAACCCCTAACCAACAGTTTGCGGGATCGGGCCCCATGTGAACCACACTTTGAAATTTGGAATGGATAGATGACGACGGCTTAAAAACCAAAAATTGTCACTCCTATCTCCCTTGTCTTTGTCGGTGGTGCTATTCTGCCCATATAATCTGCCGTTTGCGGTTGCTATTTGGGCTCGAGAGAGCGCTTTAAGGCCCTATAGTACGAGAGAGTTCTATATTACGATCCGTGAGCGTCCCTTGTCATTGCCTATTCACGATCGCAGACGGCAGGACAACGATCCTGTGGCTCAGTGGTTAGAGGCGTTAGTCTCGGGATCGAGCATCATGAGTACCACACTTCGGAACTGGGCGTGACTAGCTGACGACGGTTAATGAGCCAGAAATGGCCCTTCGAATTTCTCTCGTCTTTGTCGCCAATGCTATTTGGCATGCATATTTGTGCATATTTTAAATAAATAAGTCCTTTGGTAAAGTGAACAAGCTTTATTTCGACGTTGTTTCCCCTGCTCGTTGTCTCGGGGAAAACAGGCGTGAAAAACCGTTAAAATTCAAATATGCCTGAAAAATCGATGTTGCTCCGTCATTGTTGCCAATGGGTTGATGCTGTGGGCGGACATCAGGTTTTTACTGTTTGTCACTTTTCTCAATTTTTCTTTGAGATTTGTGTACATGCTATCCAGATCCATATGCCTATTAATAGGTGAATCATCAGAGTGAATGGCCTCCTGCAATACCTGGATTTTGTTATATTCGCAGAAACAAACAGGGCATGTATACCCCAAACGGATATGCGACGAAATTCCAGCTTATACATGGCGAATTGGGATGACTAGTATGCCCTATTTACTGCTTATTGGTGTTCGCGTAGATGCGTAAAGACGACTTTCCCAGTTTGACCGCAACATACTGCATTGAATTTGCCACCAGGAATCTTACAGAGGACTTCTCTCAACTCAGCTGGTGAACCCTATCCTTAGGATGTACAGTCGACGTGTTCGGATCACGTCGGGGTCACCAGTATAAGAGACAAACCCACTAGTTGGGCACAGCGAGTAGGCTATCCAGGAAACGAAAATAGCAGTATCCCAACAGTTACAAACTAGTAAATAAGAACAAAGTCGTCAGCAGGTAAACGTGCACGTGCGTGTTCTTTGTCTTATTCAAAGTTGTGTCAAAGCGTATTGTAACTGATTAAAACAAAACAGATTTAAATGTCACTACAATACTCCCCCTCCTAGGAGAACGGAGTTCAAAAAAAATATTGTTAATAGAAGGAAAATGTGGGAGTGTTATGCATATTGTACAAGTTGGTAACGGTCGGGAAAACGGACATGACGACCGCTGCGCGTAAGGGGAGGAGTCTGTGGGATAAGGGAAGACGCGGGGCTATTGGGCGTAAATGGAGTCTGGGAAATAGCAAGTGGCAATGTGCCAAGTGGGGTTTGTTCGGTTGGAGAAGTTGGAAGAGGCTCGGTATAAGCCGCCTTCAAGCGATCAATTGAGACCACGTCGGTGCGACCTCCACGGTCAATTGTAAAGTGCTTGTCCTTGCGCGATAGTACTCGAAATGGGCCGTCATAGGGCTGTTGTAGTGGCCGGCGAACGCTATCTACGCGGACAAATACAAAAGAACATGTTAGTAAGTTCGGGTCGACGTACGACTTACTTGTTGAAGGACGTGGAGGAGTGGCTCGAAGATGAGTCATGGCTTGGCGCAATCTTTGCACATAATCGCTGGGATCCAAGTCGCCTGAGCTTTGAGAGTGCCCGAAAAAAATCCCCGGGAATCCGTAGGGTGGTACCGTAGACAAGTTCGGCAGCGGAACACTCCAAGTCGGGCTTAAGTGCGGTACGGATACCGAGCATGACCAAAGGCAGATGCTCGCTCCAATGGGAAGGGTTGTCCTGAGCTCGGAGCGAGGCTTTGAGTTGCCGGTGGAAACGCTCGACTAAGCCGTTGGATGAGGGGTGGTATGCTGTCGTGCGTATGCGAGAACATCCGAGGAGGTTGGTAAGGCTGTTAAAAAGTCTAGACTCGAACTGTTGACCTCGATCGGAGGTAATAGTTGAGGGGACGCCATACTGAGAGATCCAGTGTTCCAAAAAAGCATGAGCAACGGAATCTGCAGTTATGTTAGGTATGGGAGTTGCAATGGGCCAACGAGTAAATCGGTCAATTGCAGTAAGTAAGTAGTTGCAACCACGAGATGTTGGAAAGGGACCTACCAGATCGATATGAACATGTGAAAAACGTGCGTCGGGTGCGAGAAAAGTGCCAATGGGGGCTTTGTTGTGCCGTCCGACTTTGGCCTTCTGACAGGCCAAACATGAACGGGTCCACTGGCGTATATCAGTGTTCATGCTTGGCCAAACGAACCGCTCGCTGACGAGGCGCTGGGTAGTGCGGATGCCAGGGTGAGCTAGATTGTGCAACGCGGCAAAAACATCTCGTCTCATCTCGCTTGGCACTATGGGTCGGGAGGCACCGTGCGATACGTCACACAAGATTGTACCGGGGGTGGTGGAAAGAGGAATGGCTTCGAGTTGAAGACTAGTGTGTTGAAGGCTTTCACTGAAAGTCGGCTGATTTTGCAGTTCTGCCATGCGCTCCAAATCGATGGAAGGGCGGGTGATGGCATTAATGCCAGGCCGAGAAAGACAGTCAGCAACTTGATTATAAAGGCCTTTAAGAAATCGAATGTCGGTGGTATACTGAGAAATAAAATCGAGACGGCGGGCCTTGCGGGGTGAATACTTGTCAGAAGAAGTAGAGAGGGCATAAGTAAGAGGCTTGTGGTCAGTATAAATACAGAAATCTCGGCCCTCAATATAATTACGAAAATGCTTAATGGCTAAATAAATTGCAAGAAGTTCTCTACCAAAAGTGCTATAGCGAGTTTGTGGGGGTGTCAATTTGGCAGAGTAGAAAGCTAAGGGCTGGGTTCCAGTGGGTGTCTGTTGCTGAAGGGCAGCACCTATAGCGAAATTAGAGGCGTCGGCCACAATGGAAAGTGGGGCATCAGGTATAGGGTGAACAAGGACAGTTGTATCCGCAAGAGCCTTCCTCGCACGATTGAAAGCCTCTACAGCTGTGTCAGGAAAAGAAAACTCACGGTTGTTCCCGCGTAAAAGGTTAGTAAGTGGTAGCATTAATTGAGCACAATGAGGGATGAAACGTCGATAGAAATTAACAAGGCCTATAAAACGGCGCAGCTGTTGAAAAGAAGTGGGAGTAGGGAAATCGCGAATAGCTGAAACTTTGGTATCTATGGGATGACAACCAGAAGCGTCTACGCGATGTCCTAGGAAAAACAGCGACTGTGCGCCAAAAACGCATTTAGAAACATTAATGAAAACGCCAAATTGGCTCAATCGTTCAAAAATGAGACGCAAATGTTGTAGGTGCTCGTGTTCACTGGAACTTGCTACCAGAACATCGTCGACGTAGACAAAAACGAACGGTAGATCGCGGAGGGCTTCGTTGATGAAACGTTGAAAAGTTTGGGCGGAGTTGCGTAGCCCAAAAGGCATCCTGACAAACTCGAACAGACCGAACGGTGTTGTAATCGCCGTTTTGGGAATGTCTTCTGGAGCAACGGGTATCTGCTGGAAGGCTTTGACTAAGTCAATGTTGGAAAATATTGTCGCTCCAGCTAGGCTAGATGAAAAGTCGTGGAGATGGGGAAGTGGATACCTGTCAGGCACAGTGGAGGTGTTTAACCGTCGGTAATCCCCGCATGGGCGCCAGTCAACGAGAGACTTTTTGCACACCATATGTAGAGGTGCAGCCCATGGACTAGTGGAAGGCCTAACTATGCCTAGCTCCATCATGTGGCTGAATTCAGCCTTGGCTATGGCTAACTTATCGGCGGCTAAACGACGGGGACGGCTAAACACGGGTGGTCCAGTAGTTGAAATATAATGTACAACAGAATGCTTGATAGGTTGGTTAAATTGTGAAGGTCGTGTGATAGATGGAAATTCCGAAAGTAAATGATGATAGGGAGTAGACGAAGGGATTGTTGAAATGCGTGGATTAGGTGATGAAAGGGTACGAGTGGAACAATTACAATGTAAAGAAGTCTTAGGATCAAATAATTTATGGGACTTAATGTCAACGAGGAGACCGAAAAAGGATATAAAATCAGCGCCGAGAATGGCTGTATGGACATCAGCGATAGTAAATAGCCAACGAAATGAACGTCTTAGACCCAAATCTAGTGTTAGGGATCGTTGACCAAAAGTTTTAATAGAAGTATTGTTAGCTGCTTGGAGGAAAAATGAAGAATTTGGTGACTTACGGTCAGTCAAGGTGGGTGGGATTAGACTGATCTCCGCACCAGTATCCACGAGAAAATTACGACAGGAAGTCCTGTCATAGATGTGGAGTAAGCGACTGGGAGAGGATGTACCGACCACGTTCGTCGCCCTTACTGGTCGGCAGGGGGGTTTTCCGACGCGGGTGTTTTATACTTGCACGGAGAGTGGCAGCGATGGGCGTTAGAAC